CCGTTTCTCTCCGCAAAGCAAACCCTTGACGGTGGCCTACAGCACCCGACAAATAAACAAACCAAGCGAATCGCAAAAATCTTTAAGCAAATGAACGCGAGAGGAGATGATCAGCGAACCTCGCGCTAACGTTGAGACCGCCGGGGGATAAAAAGGGAGAGCGGTCCGAGGAGACGGTCGGCGTTGAAATCTGCAGAGCTACCGCCGGTGGCATCTTTGTAAATATTTTGAGAACGAGATTGAAGAAGATTGAAAATGGTTAGGTGGGAGAAAAAAAATAGGGAGGCCCCAGCCGAGCTGCTAAACTTGAGAACGAGAGTATAACAGAAATGTGAAAAAAAGTCTTTTTTAGGACTAAACAATTTATACAGGTGCGTCCATCCGGGTCTGGGCCGGGCAAAACCGGAGCCCAGATCCGGACTCGGGTACCCGGCCGGGCTGGTCCAGTTTATTTTTTTTTAATTCTATTTAAAATTTAAATTATAAAAAAATAAAAAAAATAAAAAACAATAATTTTATTAATCACTTAAAATAGCATAAATTATAAATAAAAATTGTAAAAATAAATTCTTTATTACTAATTAATAAATCATTTACAAATTACAAGTATACATTTATTTTAGAATTCATCGCATCACAAAAGATATGTAAATCTTAACTAGGTTTTTCTAAATTTATTTTCTTTTCTTTTCTTTTTGATAAAAAATGGGAGAAATTTTTAAAACAGCCCATTTTTCAATTTTATTGGGCAAAATCGACCGTCCCAAAAAATAATTAGCAAAACCGACCTAAAATGGTCGATTTTGCAGTTACGGAACTGCACGGAACTAGTAGTCCCGTGCAGTCCGCCTACCCCACCAGTTCCCCTCTTTCCTTTTTTTCTTTCGTTCTTTCTTTCAGTTCTCTTCGCGTTCTCCCCCGAAAAAAAAAAAGCCTTTGAGCCTTCGACCCCCCCCCCGACCACTGTTTTTCTTTTTAATTTTGCTGTTAATTTGGGAGTTAGGGTTTAGTTTAGCAATTATTTACATATGAGAGGGTTTATCAATTATTTTTTAGAGGGATATTCATCAAATTTTGCTAGAATTGGGGGAATAATGTTTTGGCTGTTAATTTTGCTAGAATTGGGTAGGATTAGTTTTTATTTTGTGCAATAGGATGAATAATGTGGTTTGGGGGTTAGGGTTTAGCAATTATTTACAAATGATGAATAATAATTAAGGGTGTAGCCATTATTTGAGATTGATTAAGGTAATAAATTTGATGTTGATTTATTCAGATATTAATAGATTATTTGCATATGATGGACTGTGTATTTTCAGTTTCGATGACGAACTCCATATCCATTATTTGTTTCTTTAATGGGAGCCTCGGCGTCGGAGTGAATAATTTGCCGGTGTATGATGGAGGTTCTCGGAAAATGTTCATGCTATCTAAGTCGTGTAATTTTGATGGAATGACTAGGGAAATACACAGAGCTACTAAAATTAAGAAAGAAGAATATACAATTAGGGTGTTCTTCAACTGTCCGATAAATGAGAGTAGAACTATTGCCGTGGAGATTACCGAAGATGAGGAATTGAATGACATGAAACAATTAGTCGAGAAGCAAGCGTCAATTGAGTTGTTTATTGAGAAGTATCCGATTCAGGAATTTGCCCAAGTTTCACGACCTCAAGGAGAGTTTTCTCGGATGCTTGACTTAGAAAACGAGTTGATTGGTTTTATGACATCTCCAAGTCAAGAGCCATGGTCTCAACAACAACATTTAAGTGAGTATTCTATCGGTGGGACGTCAACTAATATATTTAACGACGCTTCAGGTCATGTTACGGGTTACCCACCAGTCGGAGAAATTATAGAAGATGAAGCAGATGATGATTCAGATCATATTGAAGAAGATGAAGTGCAAATTGATAGCATGCATGTGGCAGCTGGAATCGATGATGACGCACGTTGGATGGAGCAATTTAACGTTAATAATGATTATGTGGAAGCTGAAGATCCATTACCCGACGAGTTTCATAATGAGGATTGGATAAATTCTTCTCAAGCTGGATTTGTTGATGTTGGTCCAAATTTAAAACGACCCGAGGACTTCACTTTTAAAAAAGGGGATCTATTCGAGAGCAATGAGGCACTGATCTTTGCAATCCGAGAATGGTCCATCAAGAATCGGGTCAAATTCAAGCCGATAAAAACTAATGCAACAAACTACAATGTGAAATGCTTCTTTAACGATAAGAATGAAGTAGAGAACGCAAATGAGCAAGATGAGAGAAATAAAAAATGTCCTTGGTTGCTAAATGCCGCTGTGAGAAAATCATCAAATGGGCAATTTGTAATATGTAGATATTGCGGACTTCATACATGTTGCAACCCGTCGGTGGATATCGATGATTATTCTGCATCTTCTTCTTATATATGTAAGCTAATTATGCCTGAAGTTAGAGCTGAACTTGATCTGAATGCAGGTCAGATATTTCAGAGGGTATATGACATGCGGGGGATTAAGATATCTAAATATAAGGCATATGATGCAAGGAGAAAAGCGTTGTCTAAAATTTTTGGAGATTGGGAAAAATCATATGAATTACTTCCACAGTATCTTGAAGCTATCAAACGAAATAATCCGGGTACTGAATACGAAATATTATCCGAAGAGATTGCACCGGGTATGGAGAGGTTCACTCGCGTGTTTTGGGCATTTGGTCCTGCTATTAAGGGCTTCACTTTTTGTCGTCCGCTATTGAGCATTGATGGTACACATTTATATGGAAAGTATAAAGGTGTGCTTCTTGTAGCGACCGGTGTAGATGCAAATGGCGGGTTATTTCCTCTAGCATTTGCAGTCGTGGAGGTGGAGGATACGTCTAGTTGGAAGTGGTTTTTTGAACTTATATACAAGTGGATTCCAAGTGTCCGTGCGCCAAGAATAATTACCTTTATTTCGGATAGGATGAAAGGAATTATAAGGGCGTTACATGAGGGTTTTAGTGCACCACATCACCATCGATATTGTTTAAGGCATATAAGAGATAATTTCAAGAAAAAACACGGTGAGATTAATTTGCAAAATCTTTTGTGGCAAGCCGGGTGTGCGACCGACACATTAGTGTATGAACATTGCAGGGAGAAAATCAAGTCTTTGTCATTAGATGCACATAATTGGATTGAAAATAACTTGAAGCCTCAATTCGAGCATCGGTGGGCATTATGTAAGGATGAGGGTGTGCGGTTTTGCATGATGACGACTAATTGCTCCGAGAGCTTTAACGGCGTTCTTAAAGGAGCACGAGCTATGCCAATACAATCTTTGGTTGCGAGAACATTCTATAGACTAAACGCATACTTCAACAAAAGGCGTGGTGATGGCATAGACTGGACAACACGTTACACACCAAAAAATGAGTCCATTTTGCATAGAAGAATTGAGGCAGCAAGATCATGTCAAATTACTGTATTCAACGACAACGAATGGCAGGTACAAGATTGTGACGGTATCTACACCGTTAAACTATTTGATGTTGATTGCACTTGCACATGTAACATACCACAACTCCAAAAAATACCCTGTGCACATGTGCTTGCGGCTTCTTCTAATCAGCCGGGAGGTGCTAGAATTCCCAGAAATCGGTATTGCTCGCCTTGGTATTCAACAGCTCACTATCAAAAGACATATAGTGAGAGTTTTCATCCACCTGATGATAGTCGGTATTGGCCTGAATATAATGGACCACATATAGTTCCACCTCAGTACCGGAGACAAGCAGGTCGACCACGATCTGTGCGAATTAGGGGAACCATGGATCAAGGGCGAGAAGGAGTGGTCAAGCACAAAAAATGTAGTCTTTGCAAACAACCGGGACATACTCGACCTCGTTGTCCATCTAGACACAATAGATAGCAACTAATTGGTAATTTATATCATTTTTTTATTTTTATATACTTTAATAAAGAAACTGAATTACTATATGATTGATTATTAACATGTGTATAATTATATGTGCAGGTTTGTACACCATGGATCCTGGGCCGGTTAGTGATGAGGTCTTATATGACCAGGCTCAGCATCGTTCACATATTATATCCTGTACAGAGGTAATTCAGTTACTTTATAATTGTAATATTTGCATTTACATAATATTGCATTCTTATACTATCATTGTCTATACAGAGAGGTCCGAGTATCGTTATGGTTGATCAGTGTTGTAAAAAGCGGCAAAAAGCGGGGCTATCGCGGCGCAAATCGCGGAAGCGGGG